CAACACGCTGATTTCGTTTTCTTGCTCTCCTGTAAAATTCACTAACCATTGGTTAGGACACTTCGTGAGAAAGCCGACGATATGTTGGGTAGAGACATCATTAGGAGCCTAGATAAGAAACCCGCACTCGAAAATATAGTGAATGTGCTCAGTATCCTACGTAGAGAGATAATAGGAGAGTAGACAAGAAACCCACTTTCAAAAATACAGGGTTTCGAAAGTCGTGACCAAAAATGAAACATCATACACAGGGCCGCATTTTAAGGGGGTTCTTCTATGTAACATTTTCTCCACGATGGATTCATTAAAAAGATACGTTGAAGTAGAAAAATAGAAAACAATTTTTTTAATATCTTCAAAACCGTTAACTGGAATGAACTAAAATTTGGTATGTTTACCTATATATTATTCACATTTGAAAGTCCTTAATTAAAATTAACGTGCACTAGTGGCGGAGATACAGGGGATTGCGTTATTTTTCCAAATAAGAATAGTACACCAGTGTTTTTTTTTTTGTTCGAAACGCGCAATTTTTCGAATTTTACCTTCAATATGCTACAAAGAACTAGTCTTGTGTTTTTTCTTAGAGTGCATTCCTTTCGTAAAAATAAAACAAGAATTCGATAATCAAAGCTTTATTTCAATAAATGTTCAAAAAAACACCATTCTAACGGATACAAGTGCGGCATCTTTTTACTAAAGAAAAACTTATTTTCGCGAAATCTGATATAGCTTGAATTTGATGAAACGCATTATCTATTCTTTCTTGTAACTGATCAACAGTATTAATTTGTTAGTGGTATAAAAGCGCACCACAAAAGGAAATCCAGGGAGTTCAAATCAGGAGACTTCGCAGACCAATGTACGGGTCCGTTTCCACCAATCCGTCCTTGTCTAAAATGATTATATAACCATGCGGTTTTGTTACGAATTACAGAATCCGTACACAAAAATAATATTGGCGTACTCATCATTGCAAAATTCCATTTCAGAACACCCAAAAATGGAAAAAAGAAGATTTTGACTTGACTTTTATCACATAACCTTGGCAAACTATCTCCTAAGAAACGTCAAGTTGGTATCAAGGCCTCCTATTTTACTTTGAAACTAATTGTATGTTAGCTCTTCACGAATGATCTAATTTGTTTTATTTTTATTTTTACGAAAACAATGCACTCTAGGGAAAAAATATAAGAGTAGTTATTTGTAATAAATTGAAGGAATGTGAAAAATTCCGCAGTTCGAAAAACGTGGCGTACTATTTTTATTTGGAAAGATAATGCCACTAATCCCCTGTATCTCCGCCACTGGGGGCACGTTAATTTTAAGTAACAACTTTTGAATGTGGATAATGCTTAGGTAAATCCACATACCTAATTTTAGTTCATTTCAGTTAACGGTTTTAAAGAAGAAAAAAATTGTTTTTTATTTTTATCTTTCTAATGAAGCCCTCGAGGAAAAAATATCACATAGAAACCACCCTTTAACTGCAGACCTGTGTATGATGTTTTATTTTTGGCCACTCCTTATACTCAGTATTTTGGATAGTAGCGTCAATAGTAACCCATATTCAAAAATACCATGAATGTGCTCCGTATTTTCGTAGATAACAACAACAATATTAACAGATAAACGACAAATATCCGATGCATTTATAAATTTTTTCACTAATGTTGGAGGAAATTTAGCAGCCAGTATTAAAAAAATATTTTGAACGACATGTTCCCAAAAACCCAAATTCCCAATTAATTCTTTTTAGAAAGCGTTAGTCCAATTGAAGTAAAAGCAGCTGTCCTACCACTTAAATCCAAAAAAAAAGGCCTGGTTTAGATGGTATCAAAGCTGAGCATTTAAAAATAATAGCCTACGACTTAGTCGAACCACTTTCTTACGTCATTAATTTGGTGTTTCTAATCTGGAATTTGTCCTGATGCATTTAAAACAATAGTTATTACTCCTGTTTATAAAAGCGGTGACAGAATGGAAACATCAAATAACCATATCAGTACTATCGAATATAACCAAAATTTTCGAAAAATTACTACAAGAAAGCATATTACAATGTTTGGACAAAAACAAAATTATATGTTCTGACCAATATGGATTTAGAAAAGGAAAATCTTCTACCAACGCAATTTTGGCTGCAATGAATGAAATTAACTCTTCTGGAAGTTATGGAAAGATTGGGATTTAGGGGAACGTCACAAATCCTTTTAAAAAGTTACCTTTCAGGTCGGGCACAGACTGTCAAACACTTACAGTAAAAAAATGTACATCAAGTGTGGTGTGCCTCAAAGAACAGAACTAGGCCCACTATTATTTAGTCTCTACTTAAATGACTTATTCAAAATTAACAGTTCTGGAAAGATTATATGTTTTGCAGACGACACCCTCATATTATATAAAGCCGATGACTGGAGCACACAGAAGCAAATAGCTGAAAAGGATGTTATAAAGATCATTGACTGGTTTGATACTAAAATTTTAACAGTTAACTTCAAAAAAACAAAATTTGTTGCATTTACATCCTTTTCAAAATTTTTACCTACCTTCAAACAAATTTCCCTTAATTATCATGGCTAAAAAACAAAAATCGATAGAGTTAACACTTTGAAATATCTTGGAATATTTATGGACTCACATTTAAGGTGGGATAACCACATTAATTATGTTATCAAAAAAATTAGAAATGTTGCCCATAAACTCGAAATGCTTGCTAACATTCTAACAGAAAGTTATCCGCGAATCCTGTACCATGCCTTAGTTGAAACCCATATAATATACGGTATCACAGCGTGGGGTGCCGCCTGCAAGACATATAGTATATATCTGACCTGGATATAGCACAAAAAACTGTTTTGAACTGTTTTTGAAATCCTATAAACACGAGCATAACACACGATTTCGAATAGGCTCATCTAATATCCAAAGACCACACAAAACATTTATCAAAAAATCATTTAAATTCTTCGCAGCTAAATTAAAATAATGTAGTACCAAACGAAATAAGAATACTTAATTTTGAAAAAAAATTTAGACGAAAATTGAAAGACTGACTTTGTACTATGCAGCGAATGACTATACATAATTATATAGAAAACTAAAACTACAAAATTCCAATTGGATTAATACTTTTTAGAATTTCCAATAATAATTGTTATACACATATGATTGATTGTTAGTTATTAAGATATAATCCACACACAGGCGATGCCTTTTGGGGTTTTTTCATATTTGTTTGCCAATTTTTTGTATAAATATTATTATTATTATTTAAGTGAACAATTAAAGTCGAGGCAATAAAATTGTCTAAGAATGCAGCGATCGATAACTCAAAACGAAAAAGTTTTTCATATAAAAACAACATTGCTTTATAACTTCATCGTATTAAATACAGGGTTTATTTTATATTTGGTTGTCTAGTTCGTAAAACAACAGTTTTCGAGATATACGAGGGCGGTTCAATAAGTACCCGTGTTAGAAATGAAGACACCATTTTTTTCCAAAAAAATTCTTTTTATTTTTCAACATAATGCCCTTTTAGAAAGATGCACTTTTCCCAACGTTCTTGTCATTTTTTAACCCCCCAAAAAATAGGATTTGTCGAACTCTCCAAAATACGCCTCTCTGTCTCTCGTTTAAGCTAATTTTTTTCCCCGCGAGCCATTTCTTCATGTCAGGGAACAAGAAAAAGTCACAGCACCCTCTTTTTAGTATTGTCCAGTGATCGTTCTTTCTTTTTCTAAAAAATCCACGAGGATATCGCCGTTCGCATCCCAAAAAATCGTCGCCATAACCTTTCCGACCGATGGGACCGTCTTCGCCTTCTTTGGAGCAGATTCACCGGGAGAAATCCATTGTTTTGACTGTTGGTCAGTTTCTGGTGTGTAATGATGAATCCAGGTTTCGTCGACGGTGACAACTCGGCGCACAAACTGCTTCGAAATTAACAGCCGCATCCGCGAGGTTGTCCACCTTGAGCAATCGCGGCACCCATCGGGCAGACAATGTTTTCATAGCCAACTTATCATGTAGAATACACCTACGGTCTCTGCTACTTCGCGCACTTTCGTTCGGCGATCAGCGAGAATCATGCCGTGGACTTTTTGAATGATTTCCTCGGTAACCACGTCTGCCGGGCGTCCTGGTAGCTCCTCATCAAAAACGGATGTTCGCCCACGTTTAAATTCATTGAACCAATATCTAACTGTGGTCATAGATGGCAAAGTGTCTACATTAACAGCATCCAACGCTTTTATCTCCTCGCATTTTTTTCCCATCCAAAAACAAAAAGCGAATTGCAAAATATTGATTGCCGTTCCGCTTGACACACCTACGGCCTCTGTTACTTCGCGCACTTTCGTTCGTCCATCAGCGAGAATCATGTCGTGGCCTTTTTGAATGATTTCCTCGGTAACCACGTCTGCCGAGCGTTCTGGTCGACCCTCATCAAAAACGGAGTTTCGTCCACGTTTAAATACCTAACTGTGGTCATGGATGGTGAAGTGTCCCCATAAACAGCATCTAACTTTGCTTTTATCTCTTCGCATTTTTTCCTCTCCAAAAACAAAAAGCGAATTACCGAACGATACTGCTCTTTTTCCTCTTAGCGAAACACGTGTTACTCGAATGACTGTCAAATCCAAACGAACCTATCAATCAGACTGAAATTTGTTGTGCCGTCGTTTGATAGATGGCAGCACCCGACGATAACATTAGCTTCCCTCGGGAACGCCCTCTGTCGTGAAACGCGGGTACTTATTGAACCGCCCTCATAGGTATGAAAATATTTTTTTATCTATTCATCTATTGCATAAATGCTCTATAAGGATTTTATCATAAGATAATCTCAGTTAGCCAGCGAAGTCGCTATCAAATTCAAACAGCATCTAAGTACTTATCGATGGTTTCCAATTTGCAAGAGTGGAAAACTTGAAAGAAGACAGATGTGACGTATGTACGTGGAAAGTACCAAACTTGATATTAACTTTTTGTTTCAGTATCTAGTAAAAAACCCCGAACTGAAAGAAGTGATGGCCATCATCCTGACCCTGGGCAACTACATGAACGGCGGCAACATGGCCAGAGGCCAAGCGGACGGTTTCGGTCTCGAGATCCTGTCCAAACTGAAGGACGTCAAGTCGAAAGACTCCAAGATCACTTTGTTGCATTACGTCGTCAGGGTGTACATGAAGAAGATCGAGAACCCGTTTGACGCGAATGTGGCACTGCCGGTGCCTGAGCCGGGGGATATACGTAGAGCGGCCTCGGTTAATTTTGATGATGTTTTGGTGGATTTGAAGAAGCTGCAGAAGCAACTTGAAGGTATGGAATCGTCTAAGCATAGCGCTACTCGAGCTATCTGACATTGACGTACAGGGTGTTAATTAAGTATGTACCATAAATTTAACAGACGATTCTTTGAATAATTTTAAGACATAAAGTTCATATAAACATAGGTACCGCAAATTCTTCGCTTTCAAGATACAGGGTGTTAAAATTAAAAATAATGGTTTTTCGTAAATATCTTAAACATCCTTTAACTAATTTTGTTGTAATTTGGCGGTGGTATTTATAACATTAAGTAAGTAATTGAGCCCTAACTTGATTATTATTATGTCCAGTGGCGTCTAAAGCGGGATCTGAAGAAATATTTGGGGCCAAAAAATATACGCTACTGAGTTTTGTGCAATTTTTATTTTTTCTTTGGATTGAGCAAGTAGAAATACAGCTTGTTTGTCTCTTGAATCTTTTTCGTATCTTGCTTGTTTACAAGAAAAAAAGTCCACTTAATTGCAATCGCTGGACCACACGAGGAATTTGGGGAAAAGTTTCTTTTGGAAATTAGTAAAATTCATTAGCTTAGATATTAATGTAATGTAATTTAATTTACTGTTTATTTTTTTTTTGTTGCATAATTAGTAATAAGAAATTATAAAAAATAATAATTTCCAAAAGAAACGTTTCCTCATATTCTTTGTATGGTCCAGGTATATGCAATTAAGCAAGATACAACAAAAAAAATGAAGAGACTGAAAAGTTGTATTTTATTTGCTTAATTCAAAGAACGAGACGCCACTGATCTTAATAAATTTAATAAAGATAGGGCTAAATTTTATTCTCAATGTTACATACATCACTGCCAAATTACAACAAAATTAGTTAGAACATATTTGAGAAATTTAGGAAAAACCGTTTTTTTTTTTTAATTTTAACGAAGAATTTGCGGAACTATATATGATCTTTTTGTCTTAAAACTAGTCAAATAATCATCTGTTAAATTAATGATGCATAATTAACCCTTTCACTGTTTTTGGTTACGTTACATTATCATACGAAATAAGTAAACAAATTAACTAACTGTACCATGTACGAAGCTTAATTTATCATTTATGAACTGCAATTAGTATTAAGATCCATTAAAAATAAAGAATCATCAGGCACTGATGAAATTTCTTTAAGTGTCATAGCTAATATTTCACTTGACGCTCTTAATACGCTCGCAAATTTTAAAAATATTTCTCTTAATATAGCTGTTTTTTTTAAATATCAATAGTTATTCTCATTCATAAAGCAGGTCCAATTGATATGCCAGAAAATTATAGACCCACAAGTTTAGTCACTTATAGCAATAATAATAGAAAAAATTATTCAAATTATATTAAGAGACTTTCTAAAATTCAACAAAAATATAAATTACAACCAATTTGGCTTTCAAACACAAAAAAATACCATGGATGCTATTTTGACATTACTCCAGCAGTTATACTCAAATTTGAACGATAAACAGATTTCAGTTGCTCTTATTTGGGATTTTTCGAAAGGTTTTGATCGTGTTTTGAATAAATTAAACAAGCATCCCGTACTGGACGTTTAATTGAGTAAAAGCTTAAAACATATTTAAATAATCGATCCCAGATTATAAGAGTCTTAAGATATATACTTTAATAAATTAAATATAAAATCAGGGATATCTCAAAGATCAGTGCCAGGTTCGATCCTAATTTTTGTTTATATTTAATAAACTTAAACATAAATAATAAATTAATAGTTTTTGCTGATGATACCACAATACTTTGGCAAGGCACAGATATGCATAGATGAAATTAGTTCAAAAATTGGCAGTGATCTAGAATCAAAAAATGGTGTAATAACAATTTACTTCAATTTTAAATGTTACTAAGCCAAATTTATTATATTTAAATGCGCTCTTGATTTTATAAATTGAAATAGTGAATTGTTCCACAAAAACATAAATTTTTTAGGACTCAGCATTGAATACAAATTAAATTTTATTAACCATGTAAACCAATTGCGTATTTGCTAAGATTTCCTTTATTATAACAATAATTAGTTACAACGTAAGGAAAAGCACAGCCTGAAGCAGCTACTCTGCCTTATTTGTTCCCAAAATTGTTTCAAAAAATTGCATATTCTACAAAACCGAACTATTAGATACGAGCCCCTTCCCACTTCAGTTGGCCCACTTCAAGATTTGTACCAAAATATGCCTTTATAAACTAACATGACGAAACTATTTACTTCTAAAACAATTTATTTTCTCAAAAACATTTTAGATACATTCTAGTCGTAAAAAATACATATTTGAAATCACTTAGACCTATAACTAATAGAACATCTGAACAAATAAACAATGTGCGAATAAATGCGCGAAGTTAACAAAGCAACAATTGAAAGATTACCATTGGGTAACATCACCTTTATTTTTTATTACGGCTGAAATTCTTTGGGGCATAGTGTTTACTAAGTTTTGGCAAAAATTTGGTGTAAAACAATCCCATATTTCTTGAAGCTTTTGTCTCAGTTCGGTCATTGTACGAGCAGGATGTTGTCGTAGATCCTTTTTCATCTCGTGCCACAAAGTTTCAATAGGTGACAGATCTGGACTGATAGAAACCCATTTCAAAAGTGGTACATTATTTTCTTGATGTGATTAATAAAAACAATTGTAATGGCTGTTATTTTTCACAGCCACGTATGCGTTATAGACTTATTTTGCATTGAAATGAAAATAGGTTGATATTGCTGTAATTGCAACATGTGTTGTTTTTATGCTGCAAATTTGATTAGGGAGTGATAAAGTAGATGTTGTCTACTATATATTATCAAAATATTCATTGTTAATATTTTAAACCTGATAAGAAAAAAACTAAGATTTCAATAGTTGGCCCAACTGAAGTGGGAAGGGGCTCGTATACAACTAAAAATATTTATTGATTTAATTCTTAAGATAATAACTACCGTAGCATTGCTTATTTTAGGAACAGCAACTCTTATTTTTTAAAATAAATTAAATTTCAGACATCAAATGTAGGTTACGGTGTTAGACAAAAACAAGATATTAAATTAGTAGAACTTAAATCAACATTTGTGAAAGACTCAAACATTTATAATGGTCTGAAAATTTACATGTAATATCAGAAGAATCAACAATTTAAAGTTATTTCGACGTGAACCTAAAAACTTCCTTATTTGTAAGCCATATCTACATCCACATGTGCAATTTTGTTTAGTTTTAAGTTAGCTTCATGATTAAGAATAATTGTAGGCAGGCTGATACTTGATAAACCGTGAAAAGACATTTATTTACGTCACAGTATTCATACGTTACATCTATAGTCTATTCACCCAAGAAAGACATTAAGTCAAAGCAATAACCAGAGGGTATATAGTACGTCAATATATACAGGGTGTTTCAGTTATTGTTGCATAACTTTAAGATTCGATAGAACTTTTAAAATTAATGCATAAAGTCTATATAAACATGGGTCGAAAAATGCGTGGCTTCCGAAATACAGGGTGTTTAAATTTACTTTCTAAAATAGTTTTTTTTAAATATTTCGAACAATATTTGATGTATAACAGTGAAAATGGGTATACAAGGGTTTTTTGGTACGACAAAACGAACCATGGGCATAGATTTACTGTTGCCGCTAGAGGGCGCTCTCTACTGTACCTGTAGTGTATTAAAATGACCGAAAATGTTTTCTTAGTGCAATTTTTTGCTTTTTGAATAAAAAAACTGATTCTTCGCACTTTTCAACATAAAAAAGCTCTCTTGTGACTTTTCGTTATAGTTAGCCGTTTTTGAGATAGTTCGATTTTTAAGGTTCGATGCATTTTTAATTATTTATGATAAAATAACGTTAAAAAGTCAGTATCTCGATAATTTTTAGAAGTAGGCTGTGCCTGCAAATATTTTTGAAATTGAAAGCAAAATAAGGTTAAACGTCAATTAGTTGACAGTTAGTTTTGTTATCTGTTGAAACCTTAAACGTTTTTTTGCAATTGCGAATGCACGAAATTTAGTTTCTTTCACCTGTTTTTTTTTTGTAAGTTTTATAAAACGCCATTTTTATTCTCCAATCAAGAGTTAGCGGATATTCATTTTGTGTATGGCTTAGTAAATGGAAACGCAGCAGAAGCAGCCAGAGAATACGCACGAAGATTTCCAAACAGACGACATCCAACTCGCTCAGTATTTGTAAGAGTGCACCGCCAAATAATTGAAAATGGTTTTGGAAATCTCCAAAGGGATCAAAACATAAATGTTCGTCAGCGCAGATTTACCCGTATGATTCTGCGTGAGTTTGATAGAGATCCGATCTCAAGTGTTAGGAGAGTTTCTGGTGCCTTGGGAATTTCAGCAAGCCATGTTCACCGTGTTCTTAGAAATGACCATAGACGTCCTTACCATTTGCAACCTGTGCAAGGACTACAGCCAGGGGACGGAGAACGAAGAATCACATTTTGTCAGTGGATTCTTGATAGAACTGATAATAATAGGGAGTTTTTAAGTAACGTTTTATAGACCGATGAGTCATGCTCACTAGACGTGGAGTGGTAAATTTTCATAATCATCATATTTGGTCGCATGAAAATCCGCATGCAGTTCGGGAAAGAAATTTTCAGCATGAATTTAGTGTGAACGTGTGGATTGGTATCTACAGTAATCGACTATTTGGACCCTACCTTTTGCCTGCAAGGTTAAATGCTGCGACCTTCTTGGAACATGCAAATATGTGGGATGATGTTATGTTAGATTTAAGAAGATTGGCCTGGTTCCAGCTTGATGGTTGTCCAGCTCATTATTCGAGAATAGTTAGAAACTTTCTGGCCGAAAATTATCCAGAAAGATGGATCGGCTGTGGAGGACCAGTTGCCTGGCCTCCACGATCCCCTGACCTAAATCCATTAGATTTCTTTGTGTGGGGATTTCTAAAAGAAAAAGTGTACCAGACTCCCGTAACCACAAGAGATATGCTAATAGACAGAATCAGGAATGCATGTGGTTGGTTTTTCAG